AAATTATATAATAGGAAGTTAAGAAAATAATTGAATCATACCCTGTAGTTGCTACTGTCCCATTTTCTGGTGTTGAATGTGGCTGTGAAGAAATCAGGCCAGTCTTTTTTGCTTCTTATCTGTATTTTGATCTTTTTGCCTGTCCTGTGGATTCTTTATTCATCTTTGATATTCAGTAACTTTACTCTGATATGTTTTGATGCTGATCATTCTGGGTCGGGTTTTTAGCACTTTCAATTTTTAGCGTCAAAGCTCCTGTTACTTTAGGAAAGCTATTTTGAATTAATATCTTTATTTTTTGTTCCAGTCTATTCTTTTAGTTTTCTAATTTGGGGGCTCCAATTATGCATATTTTGGATCTCCTTGGCCTGCCTTCTTTAGTTATCACTTCTCTCTAATCTTTTTTTTTTCCTCTTATGTTATTTTCTCTTTCTTCATTTCTAGCCTGTTACCCTTACTCTGTTTTTCAGGTTGTCTATTTTCTCTTGTTCTCCTACCACTTTCATTTTTGTTTCTTTTCTTTGTTTTACTTCTGTCCAAATTATGTCAACTCTTGTTATATCGCTTTGTCCTTAAATTTCTGTGTTAAGGTGTTCCTTAATAGAGTTGATTGTTTTATTGAGGTATTTCAAAATATCTGACTCTTTCTTCATTAATTCATTGAGTACTTGGTAGGTCTTTCTGGTTTGTAAACATATCCTTTAGTTCTTGGAAATTTTCTTATTTCTTTGATTAATTCCTATATTGTTTTCTTTGTTCTATTCTGACTTTTTAAGACTGTTGTTGTTATTTCTTATCCATGTTTGTCTTTTGTTATTTTGGGGAGTTATCTTTGACTTTCAACCCTTCTGTTGAATTTTTTTCTATCTTTTTTTAGTTTCTAAGACCTCTTTTACTGTTTGTTTTTATTTACTGATTAAAGCTTTTTAAATGGCATCTCTTTCCTCCCAGGTTCAAAATATTTTTATCTTTGTGAAGATACAGGTTTTTGGTTTTTTTTTTAAAAAGTGTTTTCTTCACACTACATTGACCCTATTTCTTCTGTTTCTCTGGCTCTTGTTTTTGGAGGCTTTCTTTATTGTCCCAGGAATGGGAGGCAATAAAAATATGATTGTAGGGTCTCTGCGTGTGAGTGGTTTGTCTACTGGTGGGCCTTGCCACTGAATAACCAGGTGGAAAGCTGTCTTGTCAGTGTAGGGTCTATAGGTGTCAGCATCTTGTCTTGAGGCTGATGGCTCCCTCTAGAAAGAAATCCTCTAGTCTCCCCCTGTGGTATAAGCCTGGCTTCTGTAACCTGGCTTCCGGCATTCTGGAAGCAGATGAGGATCCCACTGTTCATGTTTGCGTTTAACCCCTCATAGTATTCCCGAGTCTGAAGTCTTTCTGGCTTACATTCTTCAAGCAATACATTTGAAGGATGAGGATAGCAGTAGGCAACAGGGTGTCTGATTGGTTTGCGGAGTTAAAACCCATCCTCTTCCCATCCCCACTCTGTCTTGTGCCTCCAAGCATAGAAGATTTCTGGGCTTCTGTTGGTCAACAAGCCTACTTCTTCACACTCTCCCTCTACAAGCACCCAGGTTGTAGATTCTTTCTCTCTCCCGAACAGGTCACAACTCGTGTAAATGCTTTACATATTCCAGAAATGTATTAATCTCATTTCTCTTTCTTCTCTTCTCTTCCTCTTTGTAGATTTGTGTCATATTTATTTTTTCTGTATCTTTTTAGGAGTTAGAGGAAATTACACATGTGGTCAATCTACCATGTTTAACTGGAAGTCAAAAGCTGGTTGTTTGAAAAGACTGATGAAATTGGTCTTTGGTGGACCTGATTAAGGAAAAAAGTGAAAGCACAAATATATATAAGCAGTATGAAAGAGAAATATACGAGAGAATATTAACTGGAAAGAGAAATGTACGAGAGAATATTAACTGCAACTTTATGACAGTCGATTTGAATCTCCATAATAGGGGTTGGCAAGCTACAGCCTGCAAGTCAAATCTGGCCCAACACCTGTTTTTCTAACACAGCCGTGCTCATTTGTTTACGTATTGTCTAAGGTTCTTCTGTGCTACAATGGCAGAGTTGAGTAGTTTGTGACAGAACCATATGTTCCACAAAGCCTAAAATATTTACAATATAACCCTTTACAGAAAGAGCTTGGTGACTCCTGCTCTAGAGGAAATTATTTCCTAGAGAAAAAGAAACTATGTTGACCCCCAAAGTGCTAGACTAGATAAATAATAATAGAAGAGATTGGAAAAGTTATTAACAATCTTAAGATGGCTCCAACCAGAGAGCTGAATTCTGAGTCACTAATCTTTGAAGGACAGGTGATTTCTGTGTTCTTTAGATTATTTCAGACCGTACAATAAGATGGAAAAGTCTTTTCAAAATAACATTATTAAACTATTAATGTCATCTTTTAAAGAAACCTTGCTGTTGGAGGTTTTTGTTTTTGCAGTTTTTTAAATGGTTCACATTGTTCATGCGGTGATAACTGAGTGTGGTACTATAGTTCACAGCGACCAAACACGTTCCTCTGTCTAAGGAGGGGCAGTGCAGCATTCGTCTGACAGGGTTAGTTGATCCCCTTGACCACACAGTTCCCTACTTTCTGTCATCTTAATACCCTTCATGGACATTTACATTAGTTCCATGTTTGAGTTGTAGAACCACCCTCATTACTAAGAAGAATTTGTGTGTGTGTGTATACATGTACACATCTTAATCTTAACCTGCCAGGCCTGAAAGAGAACAGATGCAAAGTCTTTTTATTTCTGTTCATCTGTTTTATAGTTAAAACTAGTTATTTTGGAATCATTAGAATAATTGCTTACAGTCTTATTGTAACAGGTTGTACTAATCTATTAATTGTAATTTTACTTTATTTTCAGGTATTTGTCTTTGTAACTTGTGAGCAATAACACTCCCCACCTGTGAGATCATAGATAATGTGATGGTGTGGAATTGTCCTTTGTATAGCGAGTCCAATATCCATCATGTTGCATCGTGTCAGCAAAATGGTCACCTGAGTTCAGGGGTTCTCAAGACCTGAGTTGGGAGTTCCCCAGTCAGGTTCAATGATTTGCCAGAAGGACTCACAGAATTCAGAAAAGCTGTTATACTCATGGTTACAGCTTATTTCAGAGAAAGAATACAAATTAAAATCAGTGGGAAAAGGTGCATGGGGCAGGGTCCAGGAGACACCAGCACAAGCTTTCAGTTGTCCTCTTCCAGTGGAGTCGTGTGGGCAGCACTTAATATTCCTAAAAATAATGTGTGACACCACTCAAGGAATGTTGCCAACCAGGGAAACTCACTGGAACCCTGGTGTCCAGGGTTTTATTGGGGATCAGTCATGTAGGTATGGCTGCCCACCTATGTGGCTGACTTTAGCCTCCAGCCCTTCCAGAGGTCAAACTGATAGCACATGGCCCAAGGCCCCTGCCTTAGCTTGCACTGTTAGCATGAACTATTTGGGGCAGCCCGAGGCTTCAGGTAAATAAATACACTCTTAAGAGGTAGGATGTTCCAAGAGCTCAGAGGTCATCTCCCAGGTGCCAGACCAGGGCCAAACCTTTCTTTGAAATGCGCAGGGTTTGGACAACCCAGACCTGCTCAGTTAATCCTTTACTGCACATTACCACACATTGAATTCCTCACACGTGTACGTTCTCTACCACCCCTATGAACAAACTTTTTAAAGACACACGTAATCTGTTTTAACCCATTGAACAAGGCAAATCTGCCAATGTCCATTGTTTGAATGGAAGAAAAAGTTTTCTCTGAAAGGTCATGTTCAGTTCACATTTGGATTAGATCAAATGTCAACTTACATCAGACATGTACCTTCAGGCTTTAGAAGGTGAGCTTGAATTGTGTCACTTCCTTTGCTCAGGGGTATTGGCCTCTAAATCCCTCTTGCCCTGTGCCTGGAAAACTGAGTGACAAACACATGGAGTCAGCATCTTTCTGTGTGCCATACCCACTGGACAAGAGGACATGAATTGGGCTGGATATGGTCAAGGGTCAGAATATCATCATCTTTATCTTTTTTGTGGAACATCTTTTAACTTTGTTTCCTGTTAGGCACTTTGTTAGGTTATAAAAGACTAAAAAAAAAAAGATGTGCATCTCCGATTCCAAGAAATTGTTCATAGGGTTTTGGAAACAAGAGAAGTTTTGAGGGTACGTGCACCAAGTTGGAGTTACCTTGAGCTTTTTGTTTGCCTCGGCTACTGGAGGAGTTTGGAAGTGAAGCTGAAGCTGACTGGAAGTGTCTAGACTACAACCTAAAGTGTCTCGTCTTGGTGAAGGGTTTGGCTTCAAAAGCTGGCAACACTTGACGTTAAAAAAAATCTTTAGTAGTAGTGAAGGAAAAAAAGAAGAAAAAAAATTGTCTCCTCAACTATAAATACATTTTTAGTCTGTTTTTTGAGCAAAATGTGAGTCATCGTGTCTGTATAGTTTTGAGTTTTGCTCTTCTTCCTCGCCATTGTGTCTGAGCAGCAGTGTTTTGATAGAAGGGTGTGGGACTTTATTTCTAGGTACAAAGATCTTTTCTCTTTGCAGGGGTGGGATGGGTAGGAGGGGCAGATCAGTGCTCTCTGTTTGAAAGCAGTTAGCATTTCTTATCATTTCTTCATTCGGGGCACGACCCAAGGACTGCTCATGCCAAGGTATCACTTTGTGGTTTCGACCTGGGAGCATTCTTCTCTTTGCAGGACGTCCCCAGGCTTGGGGAAGAAGCTCTGAGCAAGCGGGGTGCTCTTGGGGATGAGCCAATGGCAAGGGATACTGAACCCCCGAACTCTGAGGACAGCCTGCCCCGCTGAGCGAGTGTGCTTGAGCATTGCATCAGACGTAACCGAGGCTTCATTTTATGGGAGAGCAGCAGCCACTTGATAAAGTTGCTTTTCAGTGACAGTGGCCTGTCACTGAGCTAACTTTAGTCCTTGTTTTTATTAAACAACTCCTTGTCTCCCCCTCGCGCACAGAGCTCTCTCGCCGAGACCTTGGATAGCACTGGCAGTCTAGACCCCCAGAGATCGGACATGATTTACACCATAGAAGATGTTCCTCCCTGGTACCTCTGCATATTTCTGGGGTTGCAGGTAAGATAGTTCCTTTAGGATGTACCCACCAGCAGATGTTTGAATTGTCTGTCTGGATTTTTTAAGAATTCAATTTTGATTTTTATTAATTGACAACTTTTATTATGAATTACTCTTTGAAGAATGATGAAAGGGAATTGTTAATATCAATTTAATAACTGTCAAAGGAAGAAAAGAACGGGAGGAGTAGGTTAACCAGGGAATGAAAGAAGGAAAATGTCCTGGGAGTAAACAAGAGAAGTGACATGGAAGGAAGGAGAAAAGATCGTAGAGATATAGAAAAAGACTATACTTTCAGGGATCATTTCTATAGTTCATAGAGATATAGAAAGAGGGGAGGATGGAGGGAGGAGGAAAGGAGAAGAGGAGAGAAAAGAAGAATTAGTGTTCACCTCCTATTCCTAGGTAACCAGTCCATGGTCATGGTCAACCCTGCCATGAAATATGGGTAACACCGAAGTGCCACGCTGGTCAGGACATAAATGAGAGGTTTCAGTCTTATTTCTAAAGGAAAGCAGACTTTGCCGCGGTAGTTGTCTACCACAGCAGCTTCCAGTGTGAGCAGAGCAGAACAATGCCAGGGGAGAGGAGAGGAGGGGGGGGAGGGGAGGGGATGGGAGGGTGGACAGGCTTGGGGGTACTGACCAGGGGCCAAGTTGGGAGGCAACACAAGCTGCTGCCCTGGCCTGTGTTTGCCCTGGTTGTTTTAGCTTGGACTCTGTTCTGATGTCTAACTTTCCATTCTTTCATTTTTCCTTTCAAGTTTGAATGATCCGTTCAACCTGAGGTGTTTCAGATACTGAGAAAATTAGTCTCATTGCCCAGACAGGTTTATTCGCTTGGAGGTGGGGCTGTACCTGCCAACAGCTGATACTTTGGTCCAGTTTCCAGGCCCCTCCCCTCCCCTTGAGGTATCAGAGCACTTGGTAACCTGGACTGAAAGGTGTCTCATAAAGGAGGGGTTGCAGCCAAAGGAGCTGAGTGGTCTTGGTGAATAATTTGCCTTGAGCTGAGCATCCCGAACCAGGTTCAGGAAACTCGCTTTTTGAAATGTTTATATTATAGATGTTTCTAGACATCTCCCTTGGTCAATAGGATTGGAAAACTCTGCAAGCATTGTGCCCTTCTTGACGATACACAGTGAAGCTCTGAGAAGTCCTGGATGGGAATGTTCTGTTCCCCACGTGAAACACCTGTTAGTGTTAGTTGGGCCTCATGGACTGGAGGCAACACATTTTTGGTACACATGAGCAGCAATGGGGAACTATTGAGAAGAAAAGTAGAAAGTTGGCAGAACAGAGGTAGGAACTGAACAAGCGGGCCTCTGGGATGAAGGGAGTGAGCAGTGAGTGTTGGGAATGTCCTGCCTGCTGCCCAGAGTAAGGGAGGAGCCCCCTTGGAAGAGTGGGATGGGCTCTTTCTGGAGGATTCCCACAGCTTCTATATGCCCTTAACTCTTCCCTGAGTTCAGACAATGCCAGACCAAAGAACAAGATGGGAAACACCCTGAAAGAATTTTAAAAACCTGAAAGAATTAAAAAAAAAAAAAAAGTCAACTATCTTAGAAATATAGATGTAAAATTCTACGTAAAATATTAGCAAATCAAGGGGCCAGTCTGGCGTAGTGGTTAAGTTTGCGTGCTCTGCTTTGGTGGCCCGGACTTTGCAGGTTCAGATCCCAGGCACAGACCTACACGCCGCTCATCAAGCCATGCTGTGGCGGCATCCCACATATAAAACAGAGGAAGAAGGAAAAAGAAGTTAGCCCAGGGCCAATCTTCCTCAGCAAAAAGAGGAGGATTGGCAATGGATGTTAGCTTAGGGCTAATCTTCCTCACCAAAAAAAAAAAAAAAAAAAATATATATATATATATATATATATATATTAGCAAATCAAATCCCAGAAGTAAAATATAGCATGACTAACCTAGGGTTTGTTTCAGGAATGGTTCAGTGCAACACAATTCAAGTTAACAGATTAGAGGGGCAAGACCTATGATTTTAGCAATCAATGCTGACAAAGCATTTGAAAAAAAGCAAATATTCCCAGTAAGAGTTATGAGGTAAAACATCACCAGTGCTTGTATTAAGTACTTCCTTTCTGTTGGCCTGGATTCACGCGAGTAATAATACAAATGAGTAATAAGACATGAAAATGAAATGAAAGAAACAAATGAAAAGGAGAAAGTAATGAAAATAATGAAAAGGAGAAAGGCTGAGAAAGAAATAAGACTTGGCATATGATATGAGTGAGTACCTAAAAAAACCATAGAGATTCTTCACGTGGGCTGTTTTTTAAAAACAACAGGGGGGCAAAGTAGGATAAAATCAGGAAAAAAAAGCGAGGAAGGGTTTACTCTTTCTGTCTCTGTCTCCCTGTCGCCCGCAGCACTACCTGACCTGCTTCAGTGGCACGATCGCGGTGCCCTTCCTGCTGGCCGACGCCATGTGCGTGGGCTACGACCAGTGGGCCACCAGCCAGCTCATCGGGACCATTTTCTTCTGCGTGGGAATCACAACATTGCTGCAGACAACGTTTGGATGCAGGTGAGATTGGGGTACTGAATTGGGATGCTGAAGCCCCCTAAGGCCTCGAGCAATGCCATTCACCTGGGGCTGCTTGGAAGGACTGCCTGGAGTTGGCGGGGAGTGTCCTAGTGGCCATGACCCCCCTTCCCGTGTTTCTTTTGCTGGGTGGTACCACATCCCACCCAGTTGTGCCAGCTGGAAACTCAGGAATGGAGTTTCACCTCAGACGACAGCTCCTTCCGTCCCACCCCCTGGCAGGGCAAGTTCTCTCTCCAGTACCCCCTGCCCACTCCCATTCCTTTAGTTCAGGCCTGGACTGTTCTACTAGGTTCCCAGTTGGTTTCCCTGCCTTCAGGACTACTCTCCTTGCTCTGCTCGGTGACTCTGTGCACTGCCCCCGTGCCATCTTTCTAACATTCGCATCTTCCTCGGTGCTGCCAGGCTGCAGCCCCACTCTCTGTTTAAAAACCAGGATGTGCCCACCCTTTAGGCTTCTCCCTTGCTCTCTGTCCCATCACCCTTCCAGCTTCCTCTGAGCCCTGCCCTCCCCTTCCCTGCACTCAAGCTGAATGAGCTCCTCCCTGGGCCCTGCTGTTTCACCTTCCTGTGCGTGTGCTCCCCAGCGGCCTGGTAAACCCTGTGCATCCTTCTAGTCCGGCTTGTCCTCCCTGCTCTGTGAAGCATCCCTGATTCCCTGAAGCCTCCGTTGTTCTCGCCTGTGAATTCCCACACGTGCGTCTTGTGTACATTCTTCTAATGTGGCTCTTATTCCACTTTCTCCTTTTTTGTTTGTGTCTTTCCCCCTGGATCCTGCTCCCCTCCTGATGCCAGGGCCCCAGCTGGTTCACCTGTGCATCCCCAGCCCCCAGCTTAAATGGGTGTGGAGCTGGCATGGGAGGGAAGAGAACCATCCTTTCCTGCTCCTCCTGCAAGCTTGCTTTGTCCTCACCGGTCCCCTGTTCCGCCCTCTTCACAGTGCAGCCTCTTCCTTTATCCCGGGGCTCTGCTCAAGGGGAGGAGCCTGTGGGGACAGGACTGTCCTCAGGTGCGGGCTGCAGGGTAGACTTGCAAGTTCTGTCTCCTGCTCCATTAGAGACGATCTGGGGAAGGGCTTTGCCTTCCCTGCTAGGGAAGTGGGAGCAAAGAGAGAGGGCAAACAAGGCAGGTTGGGAATCATGGACTATATTCCAATGAATTGGAATCATCAGGGACATTGAGAGGGTTGCCCTTACTTTGGGGGACAGGAGAATATGGGAGAACAGTGAGCAGTGTTAGGGATTCTGGTTGGGGGCACAGGCAGCATCCTGGGAAGGGTTACAGCAGCTCCTTGAAGGTCTGCTGAAGGAAGGAAGGCTGTGGGGCTGGCCAGCTCTTGGAGTTCTCACAACCCCAACCCCTGCAGGGCGGCGTGCAGTCACCAGGCTGAGCAGATCCCTTACTTCGGAAGGGGGGAGTCTCCTTAGGGAACTCCTGAGGAGAGGGGCAGGGTGTCATTGACCTGCTAGGGTAGGGAGATGTGTTCTGGGCATTCCAGGAGGACTTGATTCATTTTCTTAGAGCTAGGTAGTTAGATTTGGCTGCCATCATCTTTCATTCTTTTGAAACAGTATTCAAGGTTTTGTATTTCAAGGCCAGGGCGGATTAAAAAGCTTTTGTTGGCTGACCTGGGGGCCTTACCTTGTACATAGGGCACTGGTTTTCTGGGGGAATGTTCTTTTTCTCAACAGCTGGCTCATCAGGGAACTGGTAGCACAAACCATCTGTAACGGTGGGCAGTGCCTGTGGTTGGGAATTGTTGGTTGACTTGAAGGGGGAATGAAAGATGTCTTTTTGTGGTGCAGTACGCACCACATGCAGCTCTGCCCGCTCTCGTGCCAAGGAGGCTAGCACTGACCACAGATGAGCCTGGGAGGGGTGGGCACAGTTGCCTAATGGGGACTCCGTAGGGAGGGCTTGGGTAACTTTTGGTGAGTGCTTTCAGTGATGTGAGGGCACCCATTTAGCACCCTCTTGCCCATCATTGGGGCACAGGAGACCTAAACAGAGCAGCATGGGTCAGTGCAGTTCACCTCTCCCTCCCCCTCCGAAGGAGCAGTTGAGCTGAGAAAGAACAGGAGAGGGAGTTGATGCACCTGCTGGGATGGCTCAGGGACCCAACACAGAGCGTCACAGCATGCGTGCACGTGCATACATTTGTGCGTGTGCATACACATGCATGTGTCTGCGCTCTGCACCCAGGAGGCTCGGTGAGAGCAGCTTTCCTTGCTGTTTTGTGGCAGATGTCAGGGAAGCCCCACCCACGTCCTTGGGTGGTATGAGCCAGCAGTGGGTCCCATCTTCACCGTGGTATAGCCATTGCTTAGTTGTAAATCGGGAGGCGGGATATCATGTCTACGAACCACATTAGTCATATGTGTGCTGCTGGGGTTTGGTGTGGTTTTGTCTTAGGACATGGGTTTTTTTGTGGCTGTCAGGGTGTGGGATAGTGTCCATACTCTTAACCTGGGAAAAGAGGAAGGGAAAAATACTGACTCAGTCCCACAGATACATAGCGAACCATGTGTGTACAAGGTGCCGGGTGACGGCCAGGCCGTGGCGGTGATGAAGTGAGTCCATGCCCTGCAGCATGAAGGGCAGCATCAGGGATTTGCGGTGATGTCCTGCTGGGGACTTGAAGGGAGAGCCACGGAGGAGATGGCAGCATGTGAGATGGGTCTTGAAGACTCAGTTAGCTTCTTGGCCCAGGAGGGTTGAAGTAGTAGCTTTTTGCATCCTGGGAAGGGCGGGGGCAAAGGCAGGAAGTCGTGGCCTGATGAGTGATTTCCATGAGCAGAGCCCAGAGGCCAGGCTCTGGGCCTGACTCCCATGCTTGGGCATTATCAGCAGGGCACAGGGAATCTGCGAAGGTTTCATTGGCAGAGGACTCGTCTCCTGGGGCTGTCCCTTGAAAGACATTACTTGGGTGTTATGTAGAGGGGAGTGAGGGACCAAATCCAGGGGATCACAGATATCCGAGAGAAAGGAAATGGAGACCCAGGCAAGGATTCTGGAGGGGAAACAGAAAGGCGAATGTTAAGGAGACAGCAAGGAAGCAGAGTCTACAGAACTCCACTGCATGGGATGTGGTAGGCGAGGGGGAGGGTGTGAGAGAGGGAGAGGGAGGGGGGGGGAGGGTTGTGTGTGTGTGTTGGGGTCTGAGTGATGAGTTTAGCTCTAGCCCAACATTCTGGAGGTCTGTTCCTGCTTTTGATCCTGAGATGGAAAGAAGAGAGGCCTGGAGTGTGCCTTGTTTGTCTTAATTAAAGAATCTTTATGATTGAGTGAATTGGAGCAGCTGCCTTTGGGGCGGGGAGAGTGTGGGAGCAACCCCTCAACCACGACATGCCCCCTTGCCCCTTGGCCCCTCGGGCACACACACACACACGTACGTGGTTAACTCTTGCTCTACTTCTCTCTTTGTGCTAACAGCACTTTCTTCTTACCGTGGATCCTTGCTTCCAGCTCCTGTCCAGTAGGTAAACAGTGAGAAGGCCTCTGTGGTATGGTTTCCAACTCCTGCAAAGCCTCAAGCTGTTGTTGACTCCTTCCTTTCACTGTTTGTCCAGTGTACATTTGAGGGCCTGCTGTGCGAAGGTGAACCCAGATAGTGAGGTGGTGGGGCATTTCCCTCCCTGCCTGGCTGCTCACCACCTCTGGGGCTTGTTTGCTGCACCTGTGTATTCGTGTGTCTCATCTCCCCCCACCCCCTCCATCTCTCCATCCTTCACCTCTTTCTGTTAGAGTTCTGATTCCTCTTTCCTCCATCTTCCCCTCCTTCCATTGTGCCCAAAGAGGCAGGGCTCCCCTATCCAGCTGAACCACCTCTCATGCCCTTGGCCCCAAGTTTCCTATGGGTTTCGTGAGAGAAGAGCAGAAATCCCAAGAGTGGCAAATATCCCAGTGCACCACCCCCGCTCCCTCACCCCTGGTATTTGCAGCAGGGCAAGGTTGGCAGTCAGACTGTGGTTGAGGACCCACCCTGGTACTCAGACACCCAGCTGTTACTCAGGATGGGGTTAGGGGTATAGTCCAGGGGGCTCACCAAAATCAGTGCTGTTCAGAGCTGGCTGCATTGCCGGTGCTGGTTAAAATCATGTCGTTGGATGTGTTAATGATAAACTGTAATCCTGTGGGCAGTCAGAACCTACAGTTCCCAGTGTAAAGCGTTGGCCTACGGCATGTGGCAAACAACGGTTTCTGCTCCCTTCACACATGGGGGAGTGGACCGAGCAAGCAGGAGAAGTTAGAGGGACCTGCACAGCGTTATGACTTTGCACAGGTGACCTCTCCAGCTCTCAGTTTCCTATTGTGAAAATGAGAGGCAGCTCTTCCTAAGCTGTCCTGTGGATGACATTTTGCTGTTATTGTGTTTTTGTAGATTATTATAAGCTTCCTAAAATACATTTGGGATGTTGTAGAGTATGAATAATCTCAAGAGCCTTTTAGTTCTGCAAGATGCTAAATAGACCCTCATCATAGGCTGTGAATGATCATCTTAACAGACTGGTGCGTTTACTTCCTGGTCACCACAGGATCAAATAAACAGATAAAGCAGTTGGGGCAGAGGGCATGTAAGGCTGGGACAGTGCTGGAGGGAAGCGCTGATGTAGCTGGGAGTGGGGTTCATTCCCCGTGTGACAGCCATGAGGACTGCAGATGGCTTGTGCGTGGCTTTTGCAGTTCAGCCCTAATTTCCTTAGGCTTAGAGCAGCAGCAGAAGTTTCTTGTTCAGCTTTCATGATTTCTAGGACAGATTTTCAGACTTGTCCAAGTCTGAGTGGTTTACCGTGTTGTGCCCGAGTTCTGTGCATTTCTTTGCATATTTGCCTATCGCCCGCTGCGTACCCGATGCTCCCTTGTGGTGGATGCAGGGACCTGAAGACTGGCGTGTCTGTGCCTTTGAGGAGTGGGCCCTTTATTCTAAGCAAGGTAAGATGATTGCTGGTCTAGAGCAGAGGCAGGAAGAAAGCATAAGCATC